GGTTTCTGCACTATTACTCTGCTCTGTGGTTATCATTTTAAAGTGGCCACAGACAATATATAAATGAAATCATGAAGTCACTGTTTCAGTAAAACTTTTTTACACAATAATAGTTCATGGTAGTTTGCTGAAACACACTCTTCCTTGGTCTTGCTGGACTCAGTGCTGTCCACTCTGCGTTCCACTTGGATTCCCCATCACCGAAGCACAGTCTAGAGAATCCTTTAAGGCAATAAACGGAAGCAATTGTAGGGCTCACCCCATTAGTTTCCCATCTCTCAAGGATCACTATCCTTTACTCCTGATGTCCAGTGACTCGAAAACAGTTGCTTTAAACTATATTCTGGTTTTCGTCGTTGTTGTTGTTTGAGGCAGGATGGTAAACCGATCCTTGTTATTCCATCTTTGTGGGGAGCTGCTACTGAAGTAGAACCTTGAGAAATACTCAATGAAATCAAAGCACATTATTTTCACACACAACTCCCATTGGAACACATTGGTGTGAAGGATATCAGTTTTAAACATTTCCAGTGTTCTTCATTCCTTTCCATCTGGTGGCAAAGGCTCTCCCCACCATTCCCATGATGCTTTGGAAGGTAGAAGAAGGTAATTACATTCCAAGTAAAACACTGGAAGGTTCTATGGATCCCAGTGACCTTTCTGTTGTGTATCAGCAGTATTTCTATTGTATGGCCTTCTGTTACGACTTAACAAAAAAAACTCAGTAAGCTTAGGAAGGAACTTCTCATATACCCAAGGATTATTTTAGAAATAAGTCTGACCTCCACCCCAACAAAGCTAGCTAATGTCAGCAACTTAAAAATACTGCTGCCCAATTAATTGAAAGATAAGGGGGAAACCTTACTTCCCCCCATGAATATAACTTTCCCTAAGTCAATTCAGGATGCCCCCTTTTTAATTTACAATTGGGGAAGCACTGGAGCAGACTTAGAAGAAAAAAAGAAAAGAAAAAAAAAAAGGTCATCTACTTTAGGATCATAATTAAAATGCCTATTTTAGAAAAGGCATTAGAAAAAAATATACTAATCTCTGTATAATCTTTTTATCAGCTATTCCCAAGATTACTTATGACCTAGGAAAAAACATTTTTGTGATAATTACCAACTTCTACTTTTACTGAGTTACATAAAGATTAGATTTCCATCTTACATTCACTTTGCACATATAAATTCATCAATCTATTCAAACCATGTCATTTTGCTGATTTTTTACTTAAAAAATTACTTAAATCAGCAATTCCTAAGGCTCAACCTACTACCAAAGAGTTCTCCTGCCTCCAGAGGGACCTCTGTACGGAGCACTGGAGTACAGCGGCGGCCAGTCAGGGCTCCACGCACCACTGGTGGCCCATGAGGCCCGAAAGGTTGGCAACCGCTGCTCTAGTATGATTCAGTGATACATCCCAAATCCTCAATTTCATGCCATTACATTTAATTAATAGAGGTAGAAAATGTGACCACAGTTACAAATATAAACTTTGGCCCTTTTACTTACTTCACTTTAAAGTTAGTACTTAAGGCTGGGACCGGTTTGGCTCAGTGGGTAGAGCATCGGCCTGCAGACTGAAAGGTCCCGGGTTCGATTCCGGGCAAAGGCATGTACCTTGGTTGCGGGCACATCCCCAGTGGAGGGTGTGCAAGAGGCAGCTGATCACTGATTCTCTCTCCATCTATGTTTCTAACTCTCTATCCCTCTCTCTTCCTCTCTGTGAAAAATCAATAAAATATATATATATATTTTTTTAAAGTTAGTACTTAAAAAGTTAGATTTTCCTTTATCTCCCCACCAGTCGCTCTCCTGCCACGTAGGCAGAATTCTGTTTATCAACCAGCAAGGCATCTATTATGATTATAGGGCTGGAAGGGGAGTGGGCTTTTCTACTCTCTTCTCCCTGAGACCACGAATCTTTTCCATTTCCATTTACATCATTCTTTGTATATGACTATTACTATCATTTCCAGAGTTTGCACAAGTCTTCGCCTGATTCATAGATCCAACCAGAACCAAAGAAAATGCTTGCAACATTTGTGAAGTTGGAACTAGAATTTTACTCCCAACCACTCTATTTGAAAATACTTGTTGTAGTGTATTTATTAATGGTCTTCAAGTCAGGATATAAGAGGTGATTTTCAGTATGGCTTAGTAAAACCAAAAACTTCCCAGCATCAACTATGGTATCCTGTGTTTCAAGAAGAGCGTTGGAGAGAAAGCAGAAGGTAATAAGAAAGTCTTTTTAATGAGGTTCTACTTGCATGAAGGGCTCAAGAAATGGGTAGGGAAAGGCGTTTTCTATAAACTGGCTCCAGCACTGCTTTTGCCAATTGTGGGTCAGGCTGTACCTCTGATGCAAATGTCCACGTTGTGCATATTTAATAGCTCCAATCGTGTTATATACTGGCATATTCTCAATCAAATATCCTTTCTTTATGTAAGAGAACATGACTTTGAAATCCAGATGAATTCCGTATCTCCACTCTCAGAATGTACAGAAGTAGTACAAAATACCTGTAGCTTAGGTATTTCTTGACCTATTAGGTTACATCTATAGTAACACTTCAAAAGATAAGAAACTGGCGTTAATAATGATCTATCAAGTGGACAACGGACATGGTCAAAATCAGGTGGCCAGAATAGCTTTTGCATTATTAAGGCCCTGAAATCACCTATTTGAAAATAAGGGTACTATATATCAGTGTTTTTTTAAAATATATTTTATTGATTTTTTTACAGAGAGGAAGAGAGAAGGATAGAGAGTTAGAAACATCGATGAGAGAGAATAATCGATCCACTGCCTCTTACACATCCCCTACTGAGGTTGCGCCCGCAACCAACGTACATGCCCTTGACCGGAATCAAACCCGGGAGGGACCTTTCAGTCCACAGGCCGATGTTCTATCCACTGAGCCAAACCGGTTTCGGCTATATTACAGTTTTTAAAGGACTTTAACATCACCTCATTGATCATGACAACACCTTTATAATAGTAATAATTATTATTATTATTATTATTGATATTTTATATTTATCAAGTTATTGACAAATGGTTTGAAACTGGAACCCAGGACTTTTCATTCTTATACCATTGCTAATCCACCTGATATTCAAAAGGTCCATGTGAAGTGCGTTATATTATATTAGAAATCACAGAATCATCAGGGACTGCATTCTGTCAAATTATCTCATGATAAAGGGTAGAGGAAAATGCTCTTTTATTTTAATTAGATATCACATAAATGTCATGTTTTTTTCTAATGCATATAGTAGAGTTAAATATATGCTTAGATAACCTAGAAACTTACAACTATCATGTACTGTTTTTGAACCAAAATATCACTTACATAAACCCCTCCTGGTAAAGGCTTTGGCAACTTAAGTCACTGCTCTCATAGTTCACTGTTAACCAAACTCTTCGTGGATGCGCCCATCTGATTTTATATTATTTTTTCATTAAACACCTACCTCCCGAGATAGACAGAGAATTCATTGAGGACAGAGCAACATACTATTCACTTTAAATTACAAGAGCCTGATTAGCGGCCTCACCTGTGAGATCCCCAGCCTGGGTTCCACGCAGGCCAGGAGGAGACTTGATGCCTGCGGGAGGGGAACTGGACTTCAGTTAAGACAATACTGATGGGAACTGTGGTACTAAGGGTCTTTGAAACTGTATTTATTGTTTATGCTGAAAGGAAGTAGGCTGAGTCAATGATTTGACTCTTGCACATAAGACAAGGGGGGAATGAGAGGGCAGGGCAGGGTGAGACCAACTTCTGACTAGAACCCTGACTCCACCGTGGGGCAGGGTGGAGTTATCCTCCATTTTGTGTAACTGGACCCTAGCCATCACCCAACCAATCAGGGTCAGCCAAAGCAGTGACATCACCACTGGTGTAAAACCCCTAGATTTGGCAAAGTTCGCTCTCTCGTCCACCATGCGGTTGGCATGTGTGGGACAAAGCCCATGTTAACATGGAAGAGGCTCTCTTGTTAAAAATAAAAAATAAATAAAAAATAAATTACAAGTGTCTGGCAAGTAGAAATCACTCAATAAATGCATAGTGGAAAAATCAGTGAGTTCAATCATATAAGAAATCAAGACCGCCAACTATTTGTTACAATTGTAGTCTCATAACTTTAGAGCAAAGTCAATAAATTTTCTGTTTCAGTTTAATATGTAACACATTATAAACATAAAATAAAACAGTTTTAGAAAATATTTTACTTCATGCTGTATAAATACAGCAAATGAAATAATAAGTTGAATACAACAAAACTCCATTAAAAACATGTCAATGTTGATTTTTAGGAAGTTTCTTAAAAACACACACTTCTCAGACTCATGAAGTAAAATTAAGGATCCAGTCACTTCTACAAAATTTAATTATAATTGTGAGGAATTTTTAATTCTATGACCATAAACTGGATAAATACTAAATTGTATTTTCATGCACTCCCCCATATATACAAGGCTGTTTCTAGGTCAATGTACATTCTCTCAAGTAACAAAAGAACCCAGGTCAATCTCTATAAACATAAGGGCTTTGATATGAAAGTAGACGTACAAAAACCAATGGAGTTGCAATCATTACTTCATTATCATAAGTAAAATTCTACAAAAAGAAAATTCTGCCAACACAGTTTTCATAGTGAAAAGTACTTAATTTTTTCACGTCAGAAACAGATTCCACTATCCTTTTGTTGTTGTTGTTAACACCTTTGAGCCCACCAGATAGTCCCTCTCAGCTTACATAATATATAGCATGTACCTCACGGCCTGGGAACAAGGATAGCAGAGGTTTACATAACGTGTGCTACATCTTATGGTTTATATTTGTCGTAGACATCTTATTGTCTCCCTCTGATTGTTTATGGAGGTGGATGATGGACCAGTGCTAATATGCATGGTCGCATTAAAAGTCAGCATTTTAAGATGAAATCTCAAAATAACTGTGCAGAAGAAAAACACAGGAACTACTTACGGCCAGCAAGCAGGAACTGATAATACTGTACAGCATCTGCAGCCAGGAGCAGAGGGTGGTTTGCATTAAATGGCGGCTGCAATTCATTCCATTGAGGAGTTCTAAGGAAACAGCAGAAGAATATTAATATTTAAGCTTAATAGATGGCATGTAAATCAACATCACTGTCACCACTTGCAGACACTGATATAAACTCACACTATCTTTGTAATCATTAAAATGAACTTGTTGGAGTGCTGAAACCTGAAACACAAGGCCATCTGCTTAGAAAAGAATAAAAAGGTGGCAGTGATTCATGCTAATCACACAGAGCCAGTATCAGTTTAAAGCAGAACACGCCTCCTGCCTCTCCCCCCCCCCCCCCGCCCCCAATAAGACATTCAGGACATTCAAAATACTGGACAGAGAGGAAGTGTGGAATTCAAATGTCACAACTAAGTAGTTCTAATTTTACCCAATTTCTGACAATTGTTAGAGCTCTCTATTCTCAGAATATGTGTGTATTTTCAAATAGAATAAAGCAGGGGGGAAATGGTAAGGAAAAAACACAGTTATGTTCATGGGTGACGTATTATAGAACAAATTAGCATCTGAGTTCCAAAATAAATCACTTATTTCAACAATGATGGTGCAGTAATTTTAATCAGATCTGCCTGCTCATGAATAACCTGATAAATAAGCTATTGATCAAATCAATTTAGTGCAGTAAAGCAGTAGTAAAGAATTCTGGAGCCTTGAAAAATCAATATAAGAGTATTTTAAAATGTCAAAAGGAAAGGGATCATTTTCATATCCATTTTTGTCTGTTTCCTTCCATACATGTCAGGACTAATATTTTCTGTCTCTCCTATACCATTCATTGTACACTACACTGAAAAAGTTTTACTCTGGATTTAACGTCTCTATCTGTATTAGCTTATAAAGATTCTAGTGATTATGTACTTTGAAGAATGACTCTGATTCATCTTTTTTTAAATGTTTTTATTGATTTTAGAGAGAAAGAGAGAGGAAGAAAGAGATAGAAACATTCATGAGAGAAACATCAATTGGCTGCCTCCTACTGAGGATACTGCATTAAACCAGTTGAGTGACCTTTTGGTTCATGGGTCAACACTTAACCATTGAGCCACACCAGCCACGCAGGACTCTGATTCTTAATAAATACTTCTACAGTCTTAGCCCTTCTATGTTGGGGAATGACTGTAAAGGAAACCTTCCAATCTAGTTTCTTTCCCTTTAGTGGCTGTCTCAGTGCACTCTATATTCAGTGAGCATGAGACTGGAAATAAGGGGAAGCATGTGGAAAATTAAAAAGGAAAAAACAAAACCTAAGTCTGAGAAGAGGTAAAACAAAGATACAAGGAAAAAGGAGTTCAAAAGGACATGTTCTCTGAGGCATGTATGGAAGACAACTGAAAATATATGACCACACAGAAATTAGTAAAAAAAAAAAAAAAAAAAAAAAAAAAAAAATATATATATATATATATATATATATATATATATATATATATTCTTAGCAGCATAATTAATGACAGGTAAAAAGTCACATGACAGTGTGGGTCAACTGATGAAAGGGTAAACAAAATGTGGTATATCCATGCACTAGAATATTACTTGGGCATAAAACGGAAAAAGTTCTGATACATGCTACCACGTGGCTGGACCTTGTAAACATTATGATACATGAAGGCAGTCAGGTGCAAAAGGTTACATTTTGTCTGATTCCTTTTTAATTAAATGTCCTAAGTAGGTAACTCGATAGAAACAGAAAGTAAAATGAGTGACTGCTAATGGGTATCATCAAATTTCCTTTGGGGTTGATGAAAAATGATTGTGGTGATGGGTACATAACCTAGTGAAAATTTACTTTAAATGGATGAATTGTATTATGTGTAAATTATGTCTCAACTTCAAAAAGTAAAAAATCATTAATACATGCCCCAACAGGGAAGAATCAAAATAATTTTGCTGGATGAAAGAAGCAAGACAAAAAGAGAACATGTATATATTCAGATTCCATGTATATAATCTTCTAAAAATCATCAAGTAATCCACAGTGAGAGAGAGTAAATAGTGGTTGCCTGGTGCTCCATGGCAGAGGTAGGGATAAAGAGGGGCAGAAGGGAGAGATTAAAAAGAAGTATTAGACAACATTTGCAGATGATGAATATATTTATAATGTTAATTACAGTGGTAGTTTCCACAGCTGTATCCGAAGTCAAACCTTTTCAAATTGTACACATTTAATATTTTATACCTCAATAAAGCTGTTAAGAAAAAAACTGAAAATTGTATATTACTGGAAAAAATTTTTTTCCCAAACTTAACTGTGTTTAGAGAGTGATGCATTCTTTATAATAACTGCATGGAAGCTTGACTTTACGGCCCATGTGCTATAGTCCGAGGGGGATGAAAAGGGAGTGCTTGGGAGTCAGACCCATCACACAGTGTGGTCCATGGACGAGGGCCTCTGGAGATGAGGGGTGTTTAAGTTAGATTGTGGATACTTTCTGCAATGATGTCACAAGATAACCAGATATAAAACAATTTGAAACTTGGTCCCATTAGCAGACCAGAATGTATATGTATGTGCAATATGAATTAATGTTATTTTTTTTCTAGTCCCTATGTGCTGATACTCATCCTAAACAGCTCACCCAACTGCCAAAGGGCAGAGCCAGGACCCCAAGAGTCCCCAACCCACAGCCAAAACCAGTCCCGAAGAGCCTATTACTGAAATTTAAACAACTTTTTAAAGGGGGGCATGTGTAATACTTTCAACAATAAAGATTAAAAAATAATAAAGAAATTAAAATTTTTTTTAAAGAAAAAGAAAACAGAAAGGTGGTATTACCTAACCAGAGTCCAGCTGGCTCGAGGTGATGTCATCATCTCCAGCGGGGTGTCATCGCTTATCTTGGGGGCAGTGCTGAGTGGCCGTGGCTCCATCATGTGCTCCACTAAGGTCCCGTAGCAGCTGATGATGTAGAGAGATTCAACTACAACTTGTTTGGACTGATCTACAAACAAAAAAATGGAACCTGGATGTTTGATAATGAACTAAAAGGAGCACAGAATAGTTTGTACAGGTTATTGAACTTCTAATCTCTTCTCAGGCTGCTAAGAGGAAATAAGAAGGCAGGGATTTTGTTCACAAGATGGGTAAGGTATCTGCTCCTTGCATAAAAGTTGTCTCTTACTAAGTATAAACTAAGGAATTTAAAAATGTCTACGCTGTCAAAACATTTTTTAAATCTTAAGATAAGAATGATGTAAGTATACTCAGATTTCTAATATAATGAAACAATATTTTTCAGTCTTGTGTATTTGTCTGCAATATAATGTGTCCCACATTATGAAAAATGAGTGCTACCAGGCGGGACAGGGACAGACTGACTGACAAGGAACTCTGCATGGACAAAGACTTAATAGTGATAGGATGTACCCACTCAAGTGCATGAGAACCCTTTGTATGCTGACATCAGCCCAACTTCTCACTTTCCCTTTAACATTTCTGGATTTAAACAAATCAACAAGCAAAAAACTCACATATCCTCCTCCTCCAAATTCTCTTCCTTCTTTTCTCTCAGTTGGATCCCTGGCCCCAAGGTAAATGAAGAGGGGGTTATACTTTGAAGAAGGTCAGGTGCTGAATATGGACCTAACCAAATGACTTTAGAAGGAGGACACATGTCCTCAGTGCCAGAACAGGTTCAGCCCTCTATCTCGGGTTTTACAGTAAACCTAGGAGCACAGAAAACCACTCCTAAATGCTGGGCGGGTCACCTTATCTCTAGGCCAGAGGAATTCATTACAACTGATTTGAGAAAATGGCTAATGACCAGTTGGTGGGACATAAAGGAGTAGCAAGTTAAAAGGGTAATTAGAACAGAAGGGAGAAGCATTTGAAATTGAGCTACACAGAGGGTTTTAACTAGCAACAAAAAGTCATTTCGATAGCATCAGTAAAGCTAGGGAGGTAACAAAAAAATACAGATGGGATAAGGAAATGGAAGGCTTGCACTCTGTGCTGTATCCTCTCCCACTCAGGTAAGGAACCTGCTGTGGCGGAGATCCTATTTCCCCGGAGAGGGGCACTGCCAGGCGATAACGAGGGGAGGGGCTGACGTCTGATTGCCAGCATTAAGCGCAAGGGAGGGCCATTTCGTTTAGCCAAGAACAATGAAGCCCTTGGAACCCTTCAAAGCAGCGCCTCACTAATAATAGCAACGTGACCTACTTCAATAGGACTCAAATGAGGGGAAAGCTTATTCACAATGAAATTCGTGGTCCATCAAATGTAGAGATTCTCCTCTACACAGAATCAAATCAGCCATCACACAATAAATGGTAATTAATGTAAACTTTTTTGGTATTGATCCTGATGATAAAAAAAAAAAGGGGGGGGGGGTTTTAAAAAAAACACAAAACTATAAATTTGCTCTTGCCTGTGTATCCCAGTGGTTGAAGCGTTGGCCCACTTCGATTCTGGGTGAAGGGCATGTACCCGGTCAGGGCACATGGGGGAGTCAACCAATTGATGTCTTTTCTCACACCTCTAACTCTGTATATCTCCATCTCTCTCCCATCCCACCTTACACTCTCGTTAAAAAGCAATGGAAAAAAATATGAGGGTTGACAATAACAACAACAACAAAAAAAAATTTTAAATAACTATATGAATTCAAAGGAGCAATGGTTACCATAAAAGATGACCTTTTTTTCTGAGTAGCAGCCTATTTTTTAACTTTTAGTTTATAGTTCTAGAGGCCCGGTGAATGAAATTCATACACAGGGGGCGGGGACGATGTCCCTCAGCCCAACCTGCACCCTCTCCAATCTGGGATCCCCCCACACTGGGATTGGGCCTAAATGGGCAGTAAGACATCTCTCTCATAATCCAGGATTGCTGGCTCACAACCACTCGCCTGCCTGCCTGTCTACCTGATTGCTCCTAACCGCCTCTGCCTGCCAGCCTGATCACCCCCTAACCACTCCCCTGCTGGACCAATTGCCCCTAACTGCTCTTCCCTGACGGCCTGGTCCCTACAAACTGCCCTTCCTTGCTGCCTAGTTGGCCCAGTCACCCCTAACTTCCATCCCTTGCCAACCTGATCCCTCCTAACTGCCCTTCCCCTGCAGGCCTAGTTCCCCCCAATTGCCCTCCCATGAAGGCCTAGTTCCCCTATAACTGTCCTCCCCTGCAGACCTGGACCCTACAACTACCCTCCACTGCAGGCCTGGTCACCCCCAACTACCCTCCTCTGCCGGCCCGGTCACCTCTAACTTCCCTCCCCTGCAGGCTTGATCACCCCCACTGCCCTCCCTTGCAGGCCTGGTCCTTTCCAACTGCACTCCCTTGCTGGCCTGATCCCTCCCAACAGCCTTCCCCTGCTGACCATCTTGTGGTGGCCATCTTGAGTCCACATGGGGGCGGCCATCTTTAACCACATGGGGGCAGCCATATTGTGTGTTGGAGTGATGGTCAATTTGCATATTACCTCTTTATTATATAGGATGGCAAACTTGTTGATTTTTCTTCCCCATCACCATTTTTGGCCTCTATGCTCTCTTCCAGTCTCCACCTTCCAACCCCCACAATCTACACCATTCTCTCTCTCTCTTTTTTTTTTTTTTTTTGCTCAATCCCTCTACCACTATCCCAACAACCCTCCCACCCCACTAGAGCTGTCTGCCTGTTCTCAGATTTAACATTAAAAAGAATTTTTTTTTCAAACTCGGATACCATCACTTACTAACTAGTGCTTTTAGCTATTTAAATTCACTAATCTGATCACTTACTAACTAGTGCTTTTAGCTATTTAAATTCACTAATCTGAAGTTCACTTCATCTCTTAAACAGAGAAAAGGTTTTCCTCTCCACACCTCAAGAGTAGGTGTGAAATTAGCTTGTCAAAAAAAATGTAGAAGCTGCATACATATAATGTATCGAGAACACCTGTAAACTGCCACCGACAGAGCAAAACAAAAACACTCGGTGGGCTATGTCTTTAACAGCTACAGCCTTTCTTCGTGAGTAGGCTTCAGCAACTGAGAGGAACTGGCTTCTAAAATATTGGGTTCAGACTACAAGGAGAAAAGCCATGAATCTTCTTTGAGAAACAAATATTACCAAAGGCCCATTTAGCCCTCAGGGAGACACCCACCTTTTTCTCTTTTCAGACCAGCGTTATTTGCAAACCACGACCTGGACGTCCCAAACACTGCAGCCACGCAAAATTCTCCGCCCACCGACTTGCTGGGTGAAATTTGTGGAGGTGGTTTAACTTTGCTTTAAAAAAAAAAAAAAAAGAAGAAGAAAGAAAGAAAGAAAAGAAAGAAAGAAAGAAAGAAAGAAAGAAAGAAAGAAAGAAAGAAAGAAAGAAAGAAAGAAAGAAAGAAAGAAAGAAAGAAAAGAAAAGAAAAAAAAATTAACCACAAAGAACTCCCAGTCCTTGAGATAATGACATCTTTTCCTTAAAATTCTACCCCTAAGTATTCATTCACCCCCTCAATGTGGACATGCATTTTGCCTTAATAACTGGTAGTGTGAGGCTGTGTTCTGCAGTAAGAGTAAAACTAGTTCAAAGTTCCAGAGCTTTATCAGATCAATAAAAATTAACTCCTTCTTGAAATATGTGCTGGGGAAATCCAAGTCACTTGTTTTCAGATGGATAACAATTCCTTAGAGATTTCAAAGTGAAGCAACAGGACCACCATAAACATCTCAGGATAATGAAACAGTTTACCTTTTCACTTTGATAGATAAGATTTGGGGGTGACAATTCAGTTAAATGGAGACAGCATGAGTGAAAATAATGAGGTGATACAGAATGAAACCCTGAAAGTGCTCTTAGCCACAGTGCTATAAGGACTTAGACAACGTGTGGGTCCATCTAAGATGTAATACAATTATATTCGCTGATCTTCCAATTTGTTTTTTTCTTTGTGGATGTGTGAAAATGATGTGTGTGTTTTTGTTCTGTTTTTCGTATGCCTGAGGACACATTAAGTAACTGCTGCTACATCTCAGAACTAGCATTAAAAAGCACGTACTTTCCTATTTGTTTTCCCCAAATCAGCTTTCATACTATCAACTGCTAATGCCATCTTTTTCTTCTCTTTTGATTTGTCAAAGGCTTCCCAAAGCTCATGAACAATTTGCCAAACACCTTCGATAAGTGATGGTATTATGTTCTCTAATTTATAGACAACAGGCTCCCTGCACACTGGTCATGATCACAGCCTCGTTGGGGCACAGGAATAACAGAGCTCGATGTTCCTGCTTTGCGAGTCAGCCTCCAATGCTGAGTAACCTTATTTCTACCTTGTTTTGCTCACTGTCCTTTATCTCTTCATCTTTTAATGACGTATGGCTGGATGTAGAAGAATTGGTGTGCGGAGTCAGAAAGAAACCTAAATCTGAATCCCAATGCTTCCTTACTACTCTATGACTTTGGGTTAAGTTATTTAAACTCTCAGAGCTCAGACTACTAGTACTGTATTTCCCCGAAAATAAGACATCCTCCGAAAATAAGACCTAGCGCATGGAAAGATAAGACATCCCCTGAAAATAAAACCTAGCGCAACTTTGGGAGAAAAAATTAATATAAGACACTGTCTTATTTTTGGGGAAACAGGGTATGTAATACCTTCATCAATAATGAATGAATGAATGAATGAATGAATAAATAAATAAATAAATAAATAAGAAACACCTTATCGGATAAAGTGCATAAAGCTCTAAGGGTGGTACTTTCCCTTATCATAATACTCAGCAATGTTAACTATCTTCTATTTTTCTTTTAATTAGAGTTTGCATATGAAATCTGTTTTCAGACTCTTATGACACCTAAAATAGTCTCACACGTTTTACCGGCCAGAGCCCTCGGTTTTGACACCCTCCTGGTAGGGAGAGCACAAAGTTTAGATCAGAAGACATTGTGGTTGGTCGTTTTGGTCCCTCCCTTGGTACCAAATCTAACATAATGCACATTCCACATATGAAAAGGTCTCTGCTTTCCATCAATATTTCTTAAGCGCTTTGTGTCATTACCCATAAAGATCAAACCCATGCCTAAAATACGAATGCCAGTCACAGTCAGACTTCCACTGAAGGGAATAAAGATATAGTTTTTTAAAAAGTTTCTGTGAGGAAATAAAACAGTTTCATAAGTGTGATACCCTTCGCACAACCACAATAAGCTAGCAACAGAAAGGAAAGAGTCCGCTCCCCCTGAACAAGTGTGCACCTTCCCGGGGAATGGCACCAGAATTGCTCTTTCTGGTAGAGATGCTCTCTGTTGCACTACCCTCCCTCAAAGCCTTTATTTCCATCCCTGAACTACTATCATTGAGCTGTTAAGTTCCCGTAAGGAGCATCTTTTAAATTCCATTGGTGATTTAACACTTACTAAGTGTTTGGGGAGGTTGAAGAGGAGGAAAAAAGAGAAATACACAATTGCAGAATTTTTCGAAAGGTGTTTCTAATTGAGTGACTGTGATTTTACTATGATAGAATCGCCATTAGGAAACAATAAGCCTACAACGTTTAATTAAAATGCCAAGGGCAAAAGACAAAGAGAGAATCTTACAAGCAGAAAGAGAAAAACAGTTACCTATAAGGGAACACCCATCAGCTGACTTCTCAACAGAAACTATGCAGACAAGATGGGGGTGTGGCAAGAAATATTCAAAGTGATGAATAGCAAGAACTTACAACCAAGATTACTCTACCCACCCAAGCTATCATTCAGAATTGAAGGTCAAATAAAGAGCTTCACAGATAAGAAAAAGCTAAAGGAGTTCATCACCCCTAAATCAGTATAATATGAAATGCTGAAAGATATTCTTTAAGAGGAAGAAGAAGAAAAAGATAAAAATTATGAACAACAGATAATATCTATCAACAAGTGAATCTAAACATCAAGTGAGTAAAAAATCTGATGAACAGAATAAACTGGTGAATATAATAGAATCAGGGGCATAGAAAGGAGGGAGGAAGAGGTATGAAGGGTGAGGGAAGAGACTGGATAAAAATCGTACACCTATGGATGAGGACAGTGGTAGGGAGGTAAAAGCAGAGGTTGGGGTGGAAACTGGGTGGAGGGGAGTTAGGGGGAAAAAAGAGGAACAATTGTAATAATCTGAATAATAAATATTTATTTAAAATGAATGAAAAAAAATAATTCTCTCCCATGATTGATGTTTCTCTCTCCTTCTTTCCTCTCTGAAATCAATAAAAAATATATTTAAAATAATAAAACACTGAAAAATGATAAATATGTGAAAGAATTAAAGTGGAAAGAGCTAGGCTTGTAAATTGTGTTCACCGGTAGATTGGTGGCACAGCCATTTAGAAAAGCATTCCAAATTCTATTTCCCTCTAAACATTTCCCTTTATACTCAAATCCCATCACAAAACATTTGCAAGTTTAAAAATACCACCTCTGGGTCCTTGGAGGCCTCCTCCCCTTTATTCATTATTTTACTAAATTAATAACATGATGTAAAAAATGAAATTCCCATGTATACAGGTGTCCTGAAATTCCATTGTGTTGATTATGGTTATAAATGGGATACACTCACAGTGCAGATGGTCTCCTTCCTGTCGAGAACGTGAGCTCTTTAATCCCCTGAACCCATCATAAATGAACCAATGTTCCAGAAGAGAAAACAAGTATTTGAGCAAAATATAAAAAAATGGAATGACCTCAACTTTTATCATATCAGGCAAAGTAAGAATCATATTTACTAAACTTGACACAAGATAACAAAATCAAAAGTAAAATAAACATACAAAAAAAACAACAACAACAAAGTGCTAAATTAAAACCCAGGAGTTTAACCTCTTGTTCACCCCTTCTGAGAGATTTAACCATCTAGTCATAGAATGAGAGTCATTTTTACTGCCATCAGGAATTCTGGGGACGTTATCATTATGACATCTTTAAAATTATTTACAAAGACCATTGAAGTTACCCACTGGCGTTTACTGTATTACATAATCCAGTCAGATTAACGTATTGAATTTCTCTTGCTTGTTTTTTTTCCCCTCCAACTGCAAAGAGAAACAAAAACCCAGAAAGACTATCTCTATCTGCTTTAAAATTATAGTAAAATGGTGGCCATCCGGGTAATTTTATTGGGTCCTACAGAACAGCATATGAGTGATGTATCTGTGGATGGCATGAAAAGCAGCAATGTTGGTTAGAAGAACACAGGCATGAAAAGAGCTAGACGGAGATAGAAGCAGTGTTTCTTTCCTTTTCTAAAACATAAGGCTACAGTCAGTATTTCAGTTTAAGTGCTAGACACAACACTGATGTAAGAATTACAAGTGACATAATGTTTTCGTGTTAAAGAAGCAATTTTCATTGTATGCCTCACTGTAATTAAGCTTTGAAAATGAGTTTAGAAGTTTTTTCTCACCTTCAACTTTATTTTTCTAAACTAAGAACTAAAAGATAAACTGAAAGTATTTTATTTTAAATATATTAATAATATAGCTAAAATTATTCTATCAGTGTTTTTTAAAAATCTCACAGATTTATCTAAACTTTGCACATAACAGATTCTCTTCATATAAATCTTTCCTTCCAAAAATAAAATTATATTTTAATACTCTCAAAAGAACAAGGTAGTTTAAGTAATATATATATATTTTTTTCAAATGAATACTCTCAGACAATACTGATTAGAGCTTTAATATAACTTGCTATGTAACATTTAATTCTTCTTTAAAATTAACTTTATATAATACAAAAATAGGTTATGTGTAAGGGAGCTATTAAAATGGACTACCTCTTCTCCATACTGTTATATATATATTTTTTCTTTTGATTAGTAATAAAAAAAAATAGCAGTAGCTTAAACAAAATACTACATGAACATTAGGAGCTCAATAAGTACTTGTTACTTATTTGTAATACTGAAAGCAAAATTTACTTTTAAAAATTCACAATGGTACATCTCTTAAAATTACTGTATTAAAAAAGCATATCATATGTGTGATTATTTTACTTTATTTTTTACAGTCATTCAAACTCTAATATCCTAGAGTAAACATAATCCTGGGAACGTGTACATAGCTAATATGTCGAAGATGGCCTACACAGTTAACTTTCCAACAAGTTTATTTTACTATCAAAGGGAAAGACATTATTTCAAACTGACTCATTTGAAACTGCATGCATTTAAACAAGTTTATCAAAGAATGAAAAATATGTAGAAATTGTGACCTATCAAAAGCAAAATCATATTTAAATATAAATGTTGCAACTTGAAAGTACT